ATATTGGATCCAGTACTGGGCAGTACTGGTCCTTGCACAAAGATAAATTAGCATAGTTATGAACAGTATCATTTCAGGCTGATATGAATTCAGGCTGATATGAATCTCATCTGATCGGCTAAAGCGAAAGAAAAATCTCCTGGTCTTGGAAATTTGTGACAAGTATTTTACAGGTCTGAGTGAAAATGTCAGGAGTAGAAAGTATGTTTTTCTTCCACAAATGTTATTAGGTAAAAGTACAAGCACTCAATTTCAACAATACTGGAGTGTCACACAAATATTTCAACACTAGAGTTTAGCAATGAAGTATTACTTAATTACTCAAATATTCCCCACCACTGAAAAGATCAAGCGTTTCAGAGCTTTTGTCCTTGCATATTTTCTTCCAGATTTCCCATGAAATGTGGGGTAATGTGGGCTACTAAACTATCTAAACCTTAAATGATCATTTTACTGAATAAATGATGAATAACATCATGATAATTCAAGCTGTGTTCATATTGTACCTTGAGTCACAATATATATATTTTTCCTGACATCTGACAAACTGAAACGGACAAAGTGGTGCTGCATTTACAATAACACAACCTATAAATCTAGTGAATTGTACTTTCAATTTTCTGCACTGTGCTGCACTAAATCTAACTTAACAGGAGTAACTGTGCTCTCCCTAATCCAACACGAGGTTAGGAAGAGGTTTTAAGCACTGACGATATCCAAAATATGCTCAGAAAACATAGTGTGGCATAATTTATCACAATATCTATACAGCCATGCTGCCCAGACCCAGATCTCAGTGTCTAAATGCAGCACTACTAGTACTAACACACACCCCTCAAACCAGGCAGGTTAAATGAGCATTGAGACTCCTGCAGGATGGTGGATCTCCAAGTGGACGTTTAGCAGGCTAGGCTAGCTGGGGAAGCTAGTAGGGACACTGGGCTCTTCTTTGGGTCTCGTAAATCACAGGCCGCTGCAATTTGCTCCCCTTCGCCTCTTGTAAAGCTATCCTGTCCACTCCTGCAGAAATGAATCTCTCTCCAGGGCGAGCTAATTATTTTGTACAGATATCCGATAATGATAAAGCGCTCAGGGCAGGATTTATGGTAAAAGCGTCCTCCCTCCAAGCAAGCTGGAACATAAAAATACCAGCAAATACAAGCGTGGAGGAAGAACGGGACATGGGAGGAACGGCAGAGCATCTGAAAAATTTGTTCTCGTTCACACTGAATAGCAAACATAGTAGGAAGACTCAGTACAAAGACTTGCAACAGCGGTAATGCCTTGGATAGTTTTCTGATCATTGCACACTGCCTGTCAAAATTTCTGGCTATTCAAAAATGTTTTTGAAGAATGAATTTGCCTTAAAAATGCAAAACTTACAGAACACCTCGTGAATAAAGCCAAAGTCCACTCATTTGATCCTCTTGTTGTGACGTCAGCACTCAAACAATTCAGGTGTTTAAACCACCTTTGAGCCAAAAGAGTTTCAATATGTGCTTTTAACAACAGTCTGGGAAAAAAAAAACGTCAAATCATTATTTAAACAAAACCTGCTCTTCACACCAATGAAGGCATTTTGATGGACACGTAGCTGAGCGATACAAAACAGACTTTGCAAAGCGTTCCATGTTAGCAAATGTATTTTTCTTATTTAAACTCTAACGATTCGCATATGGCTAGACACTACGCAGAGTTCTACAGCTCACATTTCATCTTTCTTTTTTTAAAAATGTAAACAGAATTTTGACTTAAGAGCACCCATGTGAGAAATCATTTTGACCTGGGCTGCCGAGCACTTAATTTTGGGTATTTGCTATGCATGAATCCAAATATGCAATATTTTTTTCCCAATAGTGTGTGCCACTAGAAAACTTGAACGCTATAAGGCCCAATGAGAAAAAGCCTTCATACTGAGACTTCATACTTCTTAACCACATCCTTAGCAAAGTATGTGAGTGGAGTGGAGTGTTGGATAGTCTTCTTTATCATTTGCACAGCAAAATGGACAAGACAAGACTAGCTGTGTGCAACATCAGTAGAAATTCTCCAGTATAAAATTCCAGCTTTCTAAAAAGCCACTCCGCACTTCAGAATCACATCGCTCTGCTCCCACTCTGCACCGCTCACATACTCTGGTGCTTAACATGTACTCAGGTTTCCTAGTAGTAAAATACAATGTAATAATACACTTGTTTGTAAATACCAGCAATTGTCACACTTTATATAACTGTTGTTATGGTTTCACTGAACTGAGGGTGTTTATTTTTTTCCCCCGATTTTCCATAATGCAGTATACCAAATGGCCAAATAGTGACTTCAGTATTCAAATACTGACATGCGGAACAATTAACTGAAAATCGAACAGAGAGGCAAACAATATTATGTTGTGTTTTTGCTATCGGAAAAAAAACATGCAGATATCTTCCACACCAAACATGATTTGGGGGTCCAAGATGATATCTTCCTGCAGATTATAAACTGCTTGTTTAATGTCCCTCATAAAAACTGCAAAACAGTTCCACACAGCTGACATTTTCACTGCTGATCTGCTTCTGCTCAAACAGTTTTTTATTCACCGTTTCTTATTTTCATTACCCTAAAAAATTCTTTCTAAAGTCTTTTTTTGATCTGGACACCTTTTTTGGTCAAATTTTTGGCCATGTTGCATCCCTAGTGTAAAGACATTTACATTTAAGGCATTTTGCAGACACTCTTATCCAGAGCGACTTACAATTTGATCATTTTACACAGGTAGGTGAAGGTAGTGTTAGGAGTCTTGCCCAAGGACTCTTATTGGTATAGCCTAGGGTGAGTGCCCAGTCGGGGTATTGAACCCCAGTCTAAAGTGTAGAAGGCAGAGGTGTTACCCACTACACTGAGAGACCGAAAAGACCTGAGATTACCAACTGAATAATAACCTTAAGGTTCTATGAAAAGCTTAAGTAAAATGTAAAAAGAAACCAAGGTGTTCGCAAACTTTTAGTAGGCAGTGTACAAACAACTGCAGCTGAAAGAGGGACAAGCACTGACGTCCCAGACAGCACTTACACCTCCAGCAGTTCCTTCTGGGACACAGCATGGAGGACGGAGACTCATCTGTGTGCTGATAAGCCTGCACTCTTATGATTCATCCTCCATCCCTGCGTCTCTAAATGCGGCTCTTAAGCAGTCAGCGCAGCAAACGAGAGAAAGTTAAAGAGAGATAAAAGATGGAACAGGCTGCACTCATTACCCTAATTGATGACTGACAGGTCCTGAGACGGCCCACTTCCTGCCCCGGTCCATAAAATGGCGGACAGCGGGATGGGAGCTAATTGGCTGATTGGCTCCGTCGTTCGCTTCGTTAGTGCTTAGCGCATTTAAAATGCAAACCATACGCAGACACAAAAATAAAAAAGAAACACAACCAGCGTTTAATCGGAGGACGTTTTGATGTGTGGGTATCTGTTTTACACCGATATAAAAGTGCATCCTCTCTCAGACTGAAGTGCTTTTCTGCTTTCTTTTGCACTACTGTCTGGCTTTGCATTGATCTGAGTGCTAGAACAACTTCTCCTGCATTGAGTTTGTGTGTGTGGATACAGATGCAACACTTTGCACTTTTCACTGTTCCACTGAGTTCAAGTTAAGCTGTATGATAATGTTTGTTGTTGTTTTGTGTTACACAAGTCACATGAAATTGTTTTGCTGTTATTTCAGCAATAAAGCATGATGCGGTCATAAACACAAGTTGAAGGCGAGTTTAGATGATCCCAGCATGATGTGATTCACGGTAACTCACGACCTCAAGTGTTCTTTTGCTTTTATAAATTCTTTTGCTAAAAAGGCCCGAACGTTCTATCAAATACGCTATAACATTTACAATGCCTTCCGCCAAAAAAGTAGCAACCTTTTTTGTTACAGATAAACTACCAAAATATCAGGTTCAGCTCAGCTTTTTCAATATTATTAACCTGAATGTGGTTTGGTTCCAGTCAGTCTGCAAAGCATTTTGCAGCTCACCAAGTTTGCTAAATTTTCTGGCTGATTCTAGTTTGTTCAGTTGTTCAGTTGTTCTGGTGCCGACTGAAAAGTTCACTACAGGTTTAGAATATTATGACTACACCCTTCTTTGCAATCTGACCAAAAGGGCTGCAGGTCAAGTGTTATGTAACATATTAATTTTTCTGTTTTTCCCCACCAAAATTAATGAGCAGTGAAAAAGGTGTTAAGTTCAGAAACCAATCCTTTGTAAAGGGGTCCGGCAGCATCAATTTCAAGAGGAAATTTTTGTGATTTTAACATAAAATTCTGGTGCACTTTGAAGTTATGTCCAAATATTGTATTGTTTCCTAGGTATTCAGATATATATTTTTAAAAATCTGTTTACCTTACCAAGGTCAAATGGTCAGTGAGTATAAAATTTGGTCATCTCTCTTCGATATCCCATATCTATTATAAATGAAGGCCATTATAAAAACGTCCATAATTTTTGTTCCACTGGCTAGTACATAGTGCTTGGACCCTGATGATTGCCACTTGCAATGCAATTTGTAGATGGTTGTTTTGCTCTCATAGCAGTTACAGTTCACATAAATCAACAAGTTATACACCAATTTCAGATTATTAAATGGAAGCTGACTGTCTTGGTCACTAAAAATGATCATTTATACAAGTTACACATATAACATTCAAAAACTACTGAAGAAAGAAATCCTAAAATGCAAATATTAAACCATATTCACCGCTTACTGGTCTTTTTATACTTTGGTAATGCTAATTTTCATTCTGACTGGCCATTAAAATAACGTACTATACCTGTGTGTTCGCTAAATAATGACTGAACTGCGGCTACACTGTGTTAACAAGCTCATTTTTTCCACGTAGGCAAACTATAATGAGAACCCAAAGATCGCCTTTCGGTTAGGGAGGTTTCAGTTGAGTTTAGGTGTAGGCATAGCCTCAGGAAGTCCTCACAAATAATGCAAACATATGCATTTGTGTGTGTATCATCTGACCTGACTTTAGGCACCATCATGCGATGCTGCACCATCAGCGTGTGACAGATGGAGGCCATCATGGTGAAGACGTCTTCGCTGGCTGAGTCCCTCCACACCAGCGCCAGTAGAGCATTCGTCTGCTGCTTAGTGTCCAGCTTCTGCACACACAGCTCCGTAATCAACTGCACTGAGATCCTCCCTTCATTCTGCAGGGAGAAAGAGAGAGAGAGAGAGGAAGAAAAAAAGAGAGAGAGGCATATATGAATCTATGAGTCTGTGGATTCGATGCCAACTGCACGCCACACAAATTTAATGGGATCTGCGACAGCCCTCCAGGCTCATGGACATGTATTGTGAGCGGCTGTTATAATGTTATAATGTTTCTCCAGTTTTTGTGACTGGTGCACCTGAAATTCAGGCACCCACTACACAGCTCCTTTGGAACTTCTTTGGGTGGCTCTAAAATCTCACATATCAAAATTCTAGTTGTCAAATCTCTCTAATTGTTAATCAAGCAATTAATTGACATTCAACCCAATATAACTCACTTGTGCAGCTTTGCTTGCAACTGTAACTTTAGGCTCTTCATCCTTTTTCAGGTGGTGTTCATTATTTTATATACACAGTACAAGTCATTATTTTTTCTTATTTTTGTGAAGATCAGATATAAAATAATCCAGCTGCATAAGTAAGGGGTGTTTTTGAGGAGATTAGATACAAGAAAATCCACCTGCATAAGGAGGAAGAAAGTCAAAGGAAAAGAAATGAAAAAACATGAATGTCCAAAACTGGAGTGCAAAAAAAAGATTAAAAGCTACAGAGAAAATGGGGCTCCTTACAACCACCTGGAAGACCTGGTAGGCACCAAAACTGCCCCATCAGATAAACAGCATTTAAAGCTTTCATCTTTGAGAGAGAGGAGAAAATCAAGCTGCTTCAGATCTGAAAACATCCACAGGTGTTTCTGAGCATCCTTCCAAGAAGCCATAAGAAAAAATTGAGGAACATTTGCACTAAAACCACTACAAGTCAGCATGAGATGTGTGGTAAGGTTTTATGGACTGATGAGTCTCAATTCGTACTTTAGTGGCGAGAAGAGGAAATGCTAAACAAACTTCTACAACTGAACTTTAGAGGTGTGGAAAATCATCCCCGCAGATTTATTCGAGAAACTGACACTAACTCTCCTGAAAAGTATGGAAGGAAGCTGTAGTAAAGGTAAAGAGCAGACATACTAAATACTGAAAATTGTGATCATGTTTAATTGTGTAACTCTAATCTGTCTTCTGCTTTTTATTTTTTTTTTATTCCAAAAAAGGAACTTGTACTTAACGGCTGTTTTGACTGGAAATGTCTCTGATTTGTGCACAGTAGGGTATATATACCTGTCTAGAAGTGTGGTGTATTGTGTTATTGTCCTCATCCTCCGAGTCGCTGTTGATTTCTGCTTTGCTGTGGCTCTCGGTCACTGGCAGCAGTGGCAGCAGAGTCTGCAAAGTGCTCAGATACAGCAGCAGGCCTTCCTCCGAGAGAGACCCTACACAAACACAATGTACACTGAGTAAAAACACAGACCTCAAATATAGCCACAGACTTTCCACACACATCCACCCACACATACTCTCTGACACGTTCAAAGGCTTCAGTGATCGACCAGCAAAGTCGTTTAGTTACGGACGAGGTTGCTGAAAAACAAGTTGATCTTGGCGAGTCCACCTTTTTTTCTTCCAAAAAATTTCTATACAATTAAACTGTTGTGATGTAAACAAAGTCAATAAGAGATTCTGACATAGCAAAGCAAGGGGAGAGTGGAGAAGGCATGATGGGGTTGATTAGTCTACTAACCAAATTAGTGTTGATAGATGGATTATAGAAACAATCACTCGGTTGCAGTTGCAACACACTGGGGTATAAAAATAATATAAATAAATAAAATAAAGCATCACAATTCTCTCTTGAAAGATTCTAAATCAGGTCACAAAACATCATCAAACTTTTATGCAGCTTCTCTGTTTCCCCTTTTATTTAGCTGACAGTTGATCGCCTTATAAATAATTACATCTGATAATTTAATCGTCTTTTTTTGAAAGTACAAGTCTAAAATGGTTAAGTTAGCTGATTAGCTATCTTGATTCCTGCACTCTTAGCAAAAACTGCTCTACATGGAACCAAAAAAGAGCCCTTTGGCTTGTATCAAAAGTGAAACCCTTTCTGGTGCTACAAAAAAAAAAACGCTTTTCAAAAAGAATCACCTACAGCACGCTCCCCATCAAACTGAAGAAACCTTATATAACGCAAAGAACCCTTTAATCATGCAAAAGCTTCTTCAGAAGCATTTTCTATATTAAAGAACCCTTGAAGAACCATCTTTTTCCCCCTCAATATTCTCCCCAATTTGGTCACATCCAATTTCACCCACTAGTTAGGACTCCCCCAGTCACACGATACCACCAGCGCTAGGAGGGCGAAGGCTAGCACAGGCTTCTTCCGAGACCTGTGAAGCGCCACCGCATCTGGACAGCTGAACGCGCTCGGAGGAAAGCACCAACCGCCTGATCTGTTACGTCAGCTAACAGATGCCTGCGATGACTAGTATTACACTGCTGCGAGTGATGGAGGGAGATGGGGGGGCCATCCTACCCACCCAGAGAGCGTCCTGCATCACCCACTTTGCACGACTGGGCAGCTGGCAGAACAAACACGAACAAAACTTTTTTTCTTAAAATGAGCTCAATAGAAAATGCATGTTTATGCTCTAAATAGTTACAAGACCCTGGCAATCACAAAAATGGGCAAAAGTTTGCTGCAATCATGTAGGGGGCGATATCACTTAATCTTAGTGAACTGAGCAGAATTTCCTGCTGGTGCGAATGAGACCCGACTCTCTGTTGTCTGCAGAAAGGGTGAATGAGTCTCCTCCTTCCTCTCACCAAGGCCACGTGACCACATTGCCAGAAATATTTTTATCTGGCGGCTCTCGCTTCATGAATCCTCTCTGGTAGCTGCTAACTGACGACAGCTCAGGCTAAAATAAGCAAACATAACTCACTGTTCCTTCTGAAGGTGCCACAAAATTAAGTCAAATGTAGAACGTCTGCTGTTTTGTGTATTTTTTTATGTATTTTCTGTAATGGCGTGAACCTAGAAATGTGAAAGCTACCAACTGCAGAAAAACACTGTGACATCTTAAACAACTGCAATCATCTTAAATAGCTGTGATTAGGCAATTATGTAATAATTTTGTTTTAATAATTAATGTTTTTTTTCCAATGAATTAAAATATTTCATCAGTAACCAACAAATCTGATGCTAAAAAAACAAAGTGCTAAACAGTATAAATGTGACACAGAAAACAAATCAAATAAAAATGTAGTTTGTTTTTTTTTCTTTGTGTTTTAGAATTCAGGTTTTTTTGCTCATTTAAAAACATGAAGAAAATCTGGTTTTCCATGAATTACCGGTTTTGGACAGATGATTAGATTGGATCAATATCTAAAACAATAACATATTTATTGTACTCTGGAAGAGCAGGACGTTTAGGTGATGCTGATCTACTTTGCTATTTCCATTTAATTCATATTCACTGCATATGTAACCCTTAAACTCCTTGTTAATGACAAATACAGGAAAATAATGATTATCATGAAGGCTGCCGAAATAAATAAAGATGCATCGAAGATCATTTTATAATCAGCACCCTGGCACCCTACCTGGAGTCAAATCGTGAGGTGTGTAGAGGTTCCCACCTCTGTAACACACAGCCACACAAACAGTAAAATCAGAGAACTGTAGATCTGAGGAGATTGTGTTTCTCTCTCTTACCTAGACCTGCTTCTCCAACTGACAGCACAAAATAAAAGAGCCAGGGCGCCTGAGCCTGGGCCACAGTGGAGGAGGCTACGGTAGCCTGCAGGGACCACAGGAAGTCCTGAAAGGGAAAGGCCAGCCGAGGTTCCGCCAGAGCCGGCACGAAGAAATGAAAGACCTGCTCGGTGAAGGGAGGAGAGATGAACTCCTCAGTGAAGGCTGAGAACACAAATTGCCTGAGAGAAACAAAAAGGAAGAGAAAGGGATACAGCATGAGCGTGTGTATGCATATATAATACACATAATTACTAAAGAAAGATATGCATTAGAATATAATACTGTATTATGCCTAAATAGGAATTCTTATTCATATTTCATATTTTTTAAACTCATGCATGATGGAAGAGTGCATGTACGGTGTTGTAAGGTGGTTTTGGATGGTAAATAACATGGCCTGTGTTGTAGTCATGGTGACCTGTGGTTCCTGTCACCACCACTGTAAAGAAAGAGTCCCTACATTCAACCATTTCACGCCAAACCACTCTGAATGACTTTGTTTACATCTGAATGTTTATGTCGAACATTTACACAATCAGCAAAATTCCCTTTTAAGAGCTCAAAACATTTTTTCACCATCCTAAATAAAAATCTGTGATGTTTTCTAGTTCCCCTACTTGCAAAAAAAGCATTTCCCCACTTCTAATTGTTACTAATATACGAACTATGTGACATAAAACATGACTGTAAATGTTTTACTATAATGACAAAACAGAATCAGTGCAAACACTTTAGAAAACCAAAGCTGCCTCTCAAAAGGAGTCTACAAACTCTATTTAATTTTACATATCCAGTCTATTTTAAATATAAAAATGTATCTTCCAGCATAAAACGTGACATAATATTTTTTTTATTCTGATTCATTCGCTTTTAAGACCACAAGCCTGAAGCCGGTTTAAACATTTCTGCAAAACATGACAATATTATTCACCATTTGAATGTTTCAGGCCTCTTCCTAAAATGAACCCAAACATACACTGAGCCACACACATCTGGCACTGTGTGTGTGCGTGTGTGTGTGTGTGTGTGGCGCTATGTGAAAAGTTGTCAAACGGGGGAAGTGTGTGTACAAGCTTCTTCTCTCGCACTGGTGTTTCACAGTGAACAACAACAGAGCGTTAGTCACAGAGAGCGTTTAGAATAGAGACCAAACACTAAACAAACATTACAGCCAGAGTCAAAGAGCCAGGCTGACTTTTACTGCTCACTGTAAACAGAGTGAGATCATTACTGACCCCCCCCCCATACAAACACACACACACACACACACACACACACACACAGACACACACACACACACACACACACAGAGAGAGAGACATTCCACCGACGCCTACAGCACAGATTTGCTCCTGATACAGCTGAGCGTGACACCAGCTACACACTTTAAAAAGAGTTCTTCAAGGGTTCTTTAGTAAAAAAAGTTTAGCAAAGAACACACAAAGAACCATGTGCATGATTAAATGGTCCTTTGCATGGTGAAAGGGTTCTACAGATTGACAGAGAATGTGCTGTAGATGGTTCTAAATAGAACCTTTTTGAAAAGGGTCCTATATCATAGCATCAAAAATGGTTCTTCTATCATCATGATTGGAGCTTGTAATAATAGCCGAGCCCCTTTGGTGCTATACAAGACCCTTTTCAAAAAAGGTTCTATACCATCTACACCACATTCTCCATCAGTCTGAAGAACTATTTCACAAAGCAAAGAACCCTTTAAACAAGCAAAGAACATCAAAAAAGGGTGCTTCTATCATTATGATAGTGACTTGTAACAACAGCAGAACCCTTTTTTGTGGTGCTATAGAGAACCCTTTTCAAAAAGGTTCTATACCATCTACACCACATTCTCCATCAGTCAAAATGCAAGAAAACACCATCAAACTTTACCTAAACTTTTAACTGAAACTGTAAAAGTCTGCAAAACATGAAGACCTGGGTGCAGTTTGAGCAACGTTTGAGAAGCGTTGCTCGCTGCTCTTGTTCTAAACTGATTACATCTGTGATGAGTGGAAAATTGTGGAATTTTTTCACAGAACATTTCACTGATTACAGACTTTACAAACATAACATCATCTAATTTACTACACACATACAATGCATTTGCAAAGTCTTCAGACCCTTTCACTTTTTTCACATTTTGTTATGTTGCGGCCTTGTGCTAAAATAAAATAAAAAAAAATCTATTTTTTCCCCATCACTCTCTACTCAATACCCCATAACAAGAAAGTGAATATTATAAATTTTTGTAAATGTATTAAAAAGGAAAAACTAAAATTTCGCATGGACGTAAGTATTCAGCCCCTTTGCTATGACACTTGAAATTTAGCTCTGGGGGCTCCCATTTCTCTGTAGAGAAACAGCCTGTAGAGCTCAGAGACAGGACTGTGTGGAGTTACAGATCTGGAGAAGGCTACAAAAAATTCTGCTGCACTGCAAGTTCCCAAGAGCACAGTCGCCTACATAATTTGTAAATGGAAGAAGTTTGGAACAACCAGGACTCTTCCTAGACCTGGCTGCCCCACTATACTAAGTAATCGGGGGAGAAGGGCCTTGGTAAGAGAGGTGACCAAGAACCCAATGGTCACTCTGGCTGAGCTCCAAAGATCCTGTGTGCAGATGGGAGAAACGTCCAGAAGGTCAACCATCACTGCAGCACTCCACCAATCTAGGCTTTATGGCAGAGTGGCCAGAAAGAAGCCTCCCCTCAGTAAAAGACACATGAAAGCCCTACTAGATTTTGCAAAAGGAGTCTCAGACTGTGAGAAACAAGATTCTCTGGTCCGATGAAACCAAGAACTTTTTGGCCTCATTCTAAGCATCATGTCTGGAGGAAACCAGGCACTGCTCATCACCTGCCCAATGTCATCCCTACAGTGAAGCATGGTGGTGGCAGCATCATGCATGTGGGACAGGGAGACTGGACAGGGTTGATGAAAAGCTGAATAAAAGTACAGAGATATTCTTAATGAAAACCTGATCCAGAGTGCTCAGGACCTCAGACTGGGCCGAAGGTTCACCTTCCAACAAGACAACACCCCTAAGCACACAGCCAAGACAACACAAGAGTGGCTTAGGGACAACTCTGTGAATGTCCTTGAGTGGCCCAGTCAGAGCCTTGACTTGGAGAGACCTGAAAATGGCTGTCCCCATCCAGCCTGACAGAGCTTGAAAATCCCCAAAACCAGGTGTGCAAACCTTGTGGCATCATACCCAAAAAGACTGGAGGCTGTAATCTCTGACAAAGGTGATTCAACTAAGTACTGAGTAAAGGGTTTGAATACTTGTGTCAATGCAATATTTTAGTTTTTCCTTTTCAATAAATGTAAATTTTTTTGTCAGGAAAAATGCTTAGTGTGTGCGGGTGTATGGTAGTGTGAGTACCTGGCGCCCACAGAGCAGGAGCTGTACGTAAAGTGCAGGGGTTTGAGTGTGTGCTCTAGCAGTGTGTGAGCCAACGGAACAGAGGGAGCGTCGGTGAACTCCAGACTCGATGGCAGCTTATGATTCACCAACACATAGAGAGACCTGTAGTATCCTACAGAGAGAGAGAGATACAGAGAGAGAGACAAAGAGATCAATTTTAATGATTGGGACAGTCCTAATAACAATAACGTTTTTCACTCACCTCTTCCTTTTTCTTGCCTCACCTAACTAACACTTGATTAGGAATGCCACTATTACTGTTGCTGTTATATTTTGTTTCTGTGCTTGATTACTATCATTCTGTTTGTCGTTAATGGTTTGACTGCTCTGTAATTAATAACTAGAAGCAAACAAAATAATAAAACTCCACAGAAAATAGTTCTAAACAGCTCCAAACCAGGCCGAGGCATGACATACCTTTCTGTACCATATAGTGCAAAATCTGCTCGGTAAGTGCTGTGGCTGTGTTGGCGTCCTGGAGAACAGGCAGGTACGTTTTCTCAGAAGAGAAAACCTCCACCATCCGCATAGGAACGGCCACATTCATGCCATCATCCTCACACAACTGCAGCAATCTGGAAAACAAACACACACCAGTTAACTTAGTTATGACCATTCAGTAACCCTTCATTCAATCATCCAGCAAAAACACCAATACATCAAAAAAGAACCCTGTCAAACCTCTCGAAGAGCCAATGCTCCACACTTTACCTGTAGTTTATTATTTGTGCAGTTTTATGTACCAAAAACGGTCATAATTAATTTTTAACCTGATCATTTTACAACCTTATACCTTAGACCAGGGGTCGGCAACCCAAATGCTAAGAAGAGCCATTTTGTCCTTTCGACAAAAATCAAACCACCTTGAAAGCTATAACATTTTTAGTCCATTTAACCATCTTGGCTGTAGATATGTCTCAGTATGTGCTAATGTCCTAGTATAAGCTAAAAATATATAATACATACAAAATACGCAGAATTATTTTCTGCTTTAAGCTTCAGCTCAGCTATAGCCACTTTTCTCGCATCTCCAGCAGGAAACTTTTCCTCAAAAGCAGAACAGTTTCTTGAAAAGGTCTCTCAATATTAAATTTTTTACAAGGCTGAAGTCGCTTCTCATTCACCAGATTCTTGTTCGAATTTTCCCGTTCCACCTTAAATGGTACCTGAGGTGGCAGAATGTAACTGCGACACCATTTAGACTGTTATCAGTGTTGCTATGGTGACCAGCAGTCTGCGCACCAATCTTCAGGGTTAAAGGGTGAATTACATCAACTCCAGCGTTTCAGACCATTTACTGTTAAAACTATGTTAGAACGATCAACAGAGCTTTATTTTACTGCAAAAGGGGGATTATTTTATTTGGTTAATGTCTCTGTTCTGACTGGTTGTCCTGTGTAGTGTGGGTTTGTGTAGTTAAACAGGCTTGTGGTCACAAAAAGCACACAAATCCAGTCCAAACCAAAGTGAACATATAAAGCGAGTCTAAAACAACTGAGTGAGAATTTTGGTCCCGCTCAGCTCTCTTACCTGCAGCAGTGACCCAGAAGCCTCTTGATCTGGAACACGCATGTGGGTCTCTCCGGTCCAGCCAGCAGCTTCACAAACTGAGCATGGTGCTTCACCACACTCTGACAGAGCCAGATCTGCAACAGCAAACAGGTCCAACTGAGCTTCCCCTCTCAGAGATCCTACCCAGAAAATAACTACCCACCTCAAGATCAAACAGGCCAAACTGAATCAGTGTTATTCAGGATTAAACTACAAAATTCGACCTGATCTCAAATCTATCTCACTGCTAAGACAGCGATGCATTTCTGGTGATGAGAGCATTTAACTTACTAAGACTTTTTATCCTTTTATAGACGATCTGCAACCTTTTTTTATGAAAATCAATACTAAACCAATTATTGCAATGAAATTGCACTGCTTGCCAACACCCTTAGGACATTTTGCCTTCTTTTGATGTTTACTGACTTTACTTTTCAATTAAGTATCAAAAAGTTCTTAGTAACTTAAATTCACTTAAATATTTTTTTTTACTTTTTGGGCCAAAAGAGTTTTAATATGCACTTTTAACAACATCTTGAAAAAAAAAAAACTGTCGAATAATTAATTTGAGTGCTGCCATCATGACAAGGGAAGAAATCTGAGATCTCTGACTTTATTTTTCAAGGTAGCAACATCACTAAGGGTGTTCTGTTTTACTACATAAAGTGCCAGAACCTTTGGCACCAAAAACTGGAGCTGTCCTCTTTCCATTGGCAAATGAATCCAAATCCAAAGGATTCAGTTCTATGGATTCTGGTACCTCCTCAAAACTGGTACTAACAAGAACTAATGGTACTAGAGGGTATGTCTGTCCCGATCACAACATTTAAACTGATGACCATTTGCAATATTATTAACTGCCATTAACAATTGAATGGTATTTTTTGTGTTCAATGTATGGAACTATTAAAGTACAAACCTAAAGTGGCCAAATTGGTCAATTTGCTATCTTGCTTCATAGCTGTCGATACATAGTAGCTGCCGACTGATGACAAACACACCTCGAGCTCAAATAAACAAACAATATTCTCCGTTGCCCTTTCCAAGTTTTATTGCACCAGTCAGAGTCGAAACTACCTACGGCATGTTTTTTTCCCGCTTTTGCTTTACTTACACATTTGCTTCGATCTAACATGAAAATGCACCCAATTTACATTCTATTTTTGCAATGCAAACATAGCACTGTGGAAAATAACTGTAGTCAGCTAAAATTGCTGCACTAGCTCAAATAATTGTGATCAGGCAACTACGTAATAATTTTGACTGGTCTGCCTGAGGGTCTTTGTTAATGTTTGCTTCTGAATCCAACAACAATTTAGTGAATTTCCCACTTCCCAGGTGAGGATAAAGTTACCAAGCACTACGACATCACCAATACGAGAACCAGAAAGCAAAGTAGAACGGTATACTGACGTGTCCATTGTTTTTTTTTTATTATTTGTAAAGAGTTTGCAAAGGTGACATAAGGTAGGTAGGCAGCTAAAGCTATAAGTATTAATGCTGTGCTCCACATAACAGTGCAGTATAATGTTTCACATCAGCCAATACGTTAAGCTAACTAGTAAGCAGGGTAGCTATTTAACCATATGAGACTCTTCATATTTGAACTACAGTGGCATAAAATAACCAAAAACTTCCAGCTCATGCAGATGCAAAATGAACTAGAACTAGAACCATAAGCTCTGTTGGTTTCTGTTCAGGTCAGCTCTTGTTTTTGTAGGAAAAAGCCCAGTACTATCACAGATATTTACATGTGGGATAGTGTTTTCCTCTTAATAACCCTGCTTATGTTTTAATATGTTCATTTACTGCAAAATGATGACAAATGCATAATATACATAATATTTTGCACGCCATCAAACTTTTGATAGGCAGGGCAAAAGGTTGAATGGAGAATAAAAACTGTGTAAATAAACACAATAAGCACATCCTCACCAGTCTCTGTGTGTCCTCACTGTGGCGGTAGAAGAAGAGCAGCTGCCGCACCAGCAGGCTGAGGGTGGCGCTGTCCGTGAGTGCTGGGCTGGAGGCAGACTGGGCCTGACTCACACAGCGGTCAAAGTGGCTCCTCTGTACGGCGTGCTACGAGACACAGGAGGAAGAAACCAGAAGAAGAAAAAGTGGGCCGTTAAAAAGGTAACAGGATATTTCAGTGTCTACAGCAGCGCTTTCATGCTTTTGCTACTATGTGTGACGGACGTTTTGATTTGGTACATGACCAATGCTAGTTTGACAAAAAAAATTCTAATTCACACATTTTTCCGCTCCTGCACATTTGTAAAGATAGCAGTATGTCATATAGGCTCTGTTCACACCTGGGTTGAGAAATATGACCCTAAAAGGAGAGAACTAAGTGCAGGTCAAATGCATCTCAAAGACAAATCTGACCACGCATGTGATCACATTTGTAGTGTGAACGCTAAAGCATCACGAAGCGCGCCCGACAGCAACAAAGGACCTCCTTAATGGGCCCATATTGTGGAAACTGAAATGTTCCTCAGTTTTTTTGTTTTGTTTTTTATTTTTGATTTATTTATTTACTTAATTTTTTTTTTATACAAGAGTCTGATGTTGTGCATAAGCATTGCTAAAGTTTCAAAACATACCACTCATTCCTCGCACAAACAATCCATATATTGGAAATTATGCTACAAAAACAGCTCATTTTTAATTTATTATTTTAATGTTGTTACCAAAACCAACCATCATTTACATATATCTGCACAGCCTTTAGCAGTTTAGCTCCGCCCATTCACAATGAAGTTATAGTGAATGGGCAGATACTGCACAGCCAATCAGCTCATTTACATACACCAGTCTTATAAGACACAGTAAGAAAAACAGCTTGTTTAATTCTAAGGGATAAAGAGAAGCTGAAAATGATTGTGTAAAACTGAATTAGGACTGTCTGAGGGATATAAAAACACGAGTGGACCTCAGGGAGAAAAATATAATGCATTAGTAACTCATGCGATTTAAGCACTTGTAACAGCCCATACAAGGACTCGCGGGACATTTTAGCCTGACGAACACAGCGAGAGACTGGCATAGTAAATGTGGGCAGTGCCCTTTCGTCAGTCATGAAATCCAACCATAAACGGAACCTGGAGACGCATTAGAGAACACCAGGTGTAAGCCATAGGTTAATACCAGGGTGTGAACAGGGCCACAGTGCCTGAGATTACTTAAAAACTCAATGGTTTGAGGTGCACTTCAGTTAGAATCATGATAATTGGTGGACTTAAGCTTCCATTAGCCTACTTGTTAGCAACATTAGCATTGTAGGTCAAACACAAAAGTAAAAAAAACTACAGACACCAAACATATCTAGGCTGATCAACTGCATTTCATGTAAAAGAGAAAATTATATGGATTTCTGGCCAAACTATTTTTTTATAGGGGAGTAAGAAGGATTTAGTCTGCTTTTGATGGTGAACATGACTCCCTGTGGCTGGGGACAAATAACCACTATCGTAAAATTTTTCACTGTCCGCACAACAATATAATCACATCACGTCATACTTTTAAAAAATGCATTTAGTGTGAAGATAAAAGTGGGTTGTCCAATAGAACACAATAAAAAAGAAAAAAGAAAACACTAAAAAGAAATAATCTGGGCTAATACTGATAAATTCTGTAAATGTTCAAAGAACGTGCTGTGCTTTTTTGTTGAGTTTATAAGAACATAACTATAATTACGCTCATTATATATTATTTCTTTGCCATTTTTGGGCCTCTCATTTTTACATGTTGTGGTAAAACCCATTTCATATGACAATATCACACTGTTCACTTTTATACCAGTATACTTCCAACTTTAAGATTCTCTTTACATAGTAGGTAGATAATTTAGTAAGTAGACAGCAGACAATTCTCACGATACAGGCACTGCGTGTCCAAAGACAAAGGATTATTATTACACTATAAGGGTACATTTAAAACTCCACTGTGCAAAAACAAAGAAATATAGTTTTTATTGCTGTTTTGGAGCAGAAGTGCACGCATTACACTACAACTACACTGACATATTACCGCCATCAACAAAAACATCTACACAGATGACAACAGCATTTAAGTCTCCTAAAATTATGTGCTTTCGCCAAATTTCAGAACAGAGACTACAAATCTTTCACTCTGATTAACCGTGTTACATACGAACTGAGATGCTGCCACATACTTGACGTTTTCTTTCGTGGAATCCTCTTATGTAGGACTGGATGATTATTGCATTTTTCAGCCTTTTTCTCTCATCCTGCAAAGAGGAAACATCTATTAGCAACAGGATGTACAGCTCAACTCACAAAAACAAAAACAACTCAGTTCACAACAACAAAAACCACAGCACAGTCAATGCAAACCTCGCGTTTTCTTCTTTCCTCCTGGGTCCGATGAAGAAGAGACGCTTTTTCCTCCTGAAAAAAAAAAAAAACGTACACAGACAGTCGTGACTATCTTAGGCAAGAAAAAACTGCTCAGTACTAATATGCAAGTCAAAAGCAGAAAGTAGGTCAGCACTTTTCTCACCTTTCTACTGGCCCCCCCAAGGGACACTTTAGGGGTCCTCTTGAAATCTCCCTCAAAGCTGAACATGGCTACACTCTTCCCATTGAGCTGCAGACGATGAAATGACCTGGGTGAGGAAAGAGGGGTGAGCGATGTCAATGAGTTGGTTTGCTGGGTCATATGAAAACAGGGTGACAACAAGAACCATCTTAGTGCACCAATGAGGAAAGAACAGAGCAAATCACAGCACTGTGGCGAGCATCACTGTTGAAAGTTGGACCTTGACCAGGAGTCACTGACCCTCTTCCTGGAGATCTACTTTCCTGCAGAGTTTATTTCCAACCTGCGTCTGACATTCTGTCTCCTCCCTTCACATAATGCCAATTAGGGCTGAAAGATTAATCATTTTATATAGAAATCGCAATTTGACACAGTGCAATTTTCAAATCACAAGAGCTGCAATTTTTTAATTATAGCCTACATGATTAAAAACGTCTTAAGTTTTAAAAGGAGATGAGTTCGACCAAACAGATCCAACCAAATCACCAAGTGTTGTGACATCACAACTTACTGGCTGTCCTACACTACATTCAGGGTCAATCCTCAAGCCAGGAAAGTTGGATATTCTGGTCTTTTTGGCCAAATAAAAACATGCCTGAACCTTAGTTTATAGAAAGTAATCACAGTTTAAATCACAGTTGTAATATTGCTCAGAAAAATCACAATATTTTCCCCAAAGCATTCAGCAATAATGATGATGAATCTGACCCAGCCAATCAAAGACATCTGAAGAATTAACGCAATATTATGTACGTTTTTGTTGTTGTTGTTGTTGTTGTTGCTAAAACTGAAAGAAGCAGTGTAACTAAGTCAGGATAAAAAAAAACATTAAAATACCATGTGCCTGCACTGCTACAAGTTGACCTGTAAAACCTTAAATAATAATTTAAAGGTTGCAAGATAAGTTCAGGCTAGATGCTTAGGTCTCAAAGGCAAAATCAACTATTTACTGACAAAGATATGAAGAAATTAGGAGATAATCAGAACTGGAATCAGATTTATTCACCAACTATGTTGACACACACAAGGAATTTTGTTCCAATCGTTCGTGTCTCTCTAGTATTATATGCAGGCAATTCACTCACATCTCCAGAAGACACGCCCTTCACCAAGTTTCAACTGAGTTCTCTTTTAGGTCTCTTTCAACTCACTTGCAATCATGGGAATTATCCACTTATGGGGGTCCGAAGCACAACTGACAATTCTAAATGTTCCTCTGCACATTGTATGCAATTACACATTTGCACCAAATCCCCAAAACTTAAATAGTGCAGCTTTTTTTAATAAGATGTAGCATGTATGGCAGACAGCAGTTGGATCTAGACTCTACATGAAGGCAGGGTTGGTGACCGCTGGCCTAAACTCTTAACAAAGATGGTTCTTCAAGGGTTCTTTAGTAAAGGGAATGGTTCTATTTTGAACCTTTTAATGCTTAAATGTTCTTTAGATTGAAGGAGAATGTGAAAATTGAAAATTGGTTTATATAGGACCAAAAGGGTTCTTCTATTGTTACGATGTCAAGTTTGTACACTCTCAAAATAGATGGTTCTTCAAGAGTTTTTAATAAAGAGAATGGTTCTATATAGAACCATAAACACTCAAAGAACCCTTTGCATGATCAACTGGTTCTTTGCATAATGAAGGGGTCCTTCAGATTGATGGAAAATGTGTTACATATGGGTCTACATAGAACCTTTTTGAAAAGGGTTTTATATAGCACCAAAACAGTTCATCTACTGTTACGATGTCAAACTTGTGACAACTGAAGAACCCTTTTTGGTGCTATATAGAATCGTACACAGCACATTCTCCATCAATCTGAAGAACCCTTTCACCATAAAAAGAACCATTTAATCATGAAAAGGGTTCTTTGAGTTTTCTCTAGGAAAGAACCCTTGAAGAACCATCTTTTTTAAGTGTGTGTGTAACAGAAGAACCCTTTTGGTGCTATAAAGAACCATTTTTCAAAAATACAACACATGTACAACAATTACAACACATTCTCCATCAATCTAAAGAACCATTTCACCATCCAAAGAAGCTCTACATAGTTCTATATATAGAACTCACGGCTCTAGACAGAACCATTCCCTTTACTAATGAACTCATGCTGAGCCATCTTGTTTATGGGTGTTAGTTCCCTTTGTTTCAGATGCCTTACTGTCATTAATTTGTACTAAGCTTAGTGCTGAGCACCACTGAATGCAATGACAAAACTCCTCGAAGCACAGAGTGCTGATCTAGGACCACCTCCTGCCTCCCTCCTGGGGATGAAACGAGTCTGAGTCTGATCCCCCTAGACAACCCTGTTACTTTCCAGATGCTTCCAGAACAACCCGCCCACATCTATGACTAAAACTAATACGAACATAGCAGAACCCCAACTGTAACCCAGCTGGACTGCAAGTTATGAGGGCGAATATTAGCTGTCGTATCTAGTTTTAACCCCAAAATAAACCGTGGCGTTACATTAAGGTTAACTTACATAATGAACGTCGTTGTGTTTACATCCAGACTGCTAGGTTAGCTAGTTTCAGCATAGCTAGCAGCCCTGAAACAGAGTGGAAACCCTTCCCTCCACCCTAAAAGAGTTTAAAAAAGGGCTGTAAAATAAAGTGCTGAAAGGATTCACGGTTGTTTTTATCTCAGCTAGCTATTTATCAAGCTTTTGAGTTAGCTAGCTAGCTAGTTAGTTAAGAGCTGCAGCTAAAAAGCTAGCGTGTCTAGCTAAAGCTAGATTAAAAAGAAAGTGAGACATGATGGGTTTCAAACCTGGAGAAAATGTGTATAATAATTCAAAGCCAAGTGGGATAAATAAATGGACAATACGTCTTAAAGCAGCTCTCATGTCTGCAATTAGCTGCGGTGCTAACTTTAGCCAGCTATTGTTTTGTTGTTCGAATTTCCCCGTTCCACCTTAAATGCTCCGGCAGCTCCGTTCTGGCGCCTGGGGCAGCCTGAGGCGCCAGAATGTAACGCTAAAGCATTTAAGGTGGAACGGGGAAATTGGAGTAGGAAGGCGACTTCAGCCTCGTTTGGTTGTACCAGTCGTCTGAGCGTTTAGCTAATGACTCAGCGAGTTAACATCACGGCCACACGTTTAGATGGAGGTCACCGAGGACGGGTTTTTTACGCTGAATTCAAAATGAGCACTTTTTAAGACATTATTTTAACGTTTCGCCCTCGTTTATTGACGGACTTAGCCAGCAGGCTAACTAACACTACAGCGCATTAACGTTAACTTCACTCGACATGTCGCTCTGTCCTCCTCCTGTGGCTCATGACAGCGGGATTTTCTAGCATTTTACACCTGTAAATCTGCGAAAATGAAATCTCCTTTTGTCTTTACCTGTTTTACTGAACAGTTGGGACGAGCCGGAATATTAAAAAATGAGAGAAATCGAAACAAAAACTCTCTCTTGCTTTTTTCCCCTCTCAGCTCCACAGAAACACAACACAGCGACAGTCCCGCCCACCGGCCTCGGCGCTCACATGCGATTGGACGCCGCAGCAGATGCTGAAAGGCGATTCGCTGAAACGAGTCGAAGCGTCACAAGCGTGTCAGGAAACACTATTCAATGTTAAGCATTATTGTCTTATTATTTGAGTCACTAATAAAATAAATGTCTAATCTGTACTACTATTTATATAATTTCATCATGAGGCAAGCTTGTTGTTATTGTCTAATCTGTTATTATGAGAGCTCTTCGCTTTAACAGCTTTAAGGAAATTGAAGGGGAATTCCACCAATCATTCAAAGTTTCTGCATATATAAAATGGTTGAGATGTGAACAGAGTGATTCAGAGTGGTTTGGTGTGAAATGGTTGACTGTACAGACTTAGATTTCTTTACAGTGGTGGTGATAGGAACCCAGGGATCGTCATGACTACAGCACTATTATAGACAATTTACTTTCTATCCAAAACTACCAGTGAACCTACACGAGTCTTCTGAGTTTTATACAAAATCTTGATGATGGTCAAATAGTGGACAATCTGAAAAAAAAAAAAAAAACAGTTTCTTTGGGGATTATGTTGCCTTACAACACCCTGCATGAAACTTTACAGAATTTTGTAATCAATACCGAATTTGAATGGCTGCCAGTGTGGTGTTGACTACACCAGAGGCGAGTCAGAGTCAAGATAGATACCTGGACACCTGGAGTCAAGACCAGATTAAGACTTTTCCAGAATATAAAAAATAAAAAGAAAGAGGAGAAATCCGAAATCCATTTGTAGTTCATTATACATTCCATATCACTCATTATACATGATATATATTATATAAATAAAGTGTATAATATATTTTGTAAAATATAAAATTAAATAATATGGAACTTACTATCGCCATTGTCACACAAAAATGTATGTTCATTTTTGTTCGTTTTTTTTTACTTTTTTGTATGATTTAAAAGCTGCAGTTGCCCTATACTGTGTTCAAACTTCTTGATGTACTGACCATTGGAAATGGCCCAAAATTACTTGGAAAAAAATCTTGTTCTATTAATTTCCAGTAAAAGTTCAAGTTTTCCATTCTTCTCCTGTAAAGTTACCACTTTGGAGATACAAGGTTTTGTTCTGACAGTGACGGAATTAATATTATACATTATGTTATTACAGTCTTAGTCCAACTTTGCATTGTAACTGTTGGAAGTAAATGATGGTGGGTTTATCCTCTGTCGCTTCTTTGCATTCAACTGAAACAAGCAAACAACATACATCCATTTTATTATTGAATGAAAACATATTAATAATAATATTCTGATCTGCCCTCAGAGTAGGTTTGAATTTTGGAACCAATAAACATCAACAAACCAATAGAACCCAGTTAATCCATCATGAAAAGATCGATTAGATCCTCAATCGGCAGAACAGATTCCACCTTACCCCGAGTCAAGGCCGAGACCAAATGATGATGAGACTGTTGCTTTATGGTCTCAAGACCAGGATCGGACTTAAGTACTACATTACTACTTGTAAGGCTGCAGCATTTCAGACTAACTGAAGCTTGTTTAGGCTTTTGCTGGAACATCCAGACAGCAGGTCTCTACAGTAATCCAAACTCGAGGTAATAAAGGCAAGAGCTAGTTTTCCTGCATCTTGTAGGAACAGCGCATTTCTTAACTTGGCAATATTTTGAAGGTGAAGGAAAGCTATTCTAGTAATATTACAACAGATCAGAATCAATTGAGATGCCATGGTTTTTCAAAGATCTGTACCTAATGCCCCTGCTCAAAAAGACCAACAAGCATTCCATGCTAGTCTATGCTGGTTTCTGCTGGTCTACGGCTGGTTTAGCTGGTTTTTTTTCTAGCAGGGACAACGGAGAAGCAATCAAGATTTAACGTTAAATGAGTCAGTTTGGACCAGGAAGAAGAAGATGATCTGTTTTGTCAGAGTTGAATAGGAGGAAGTTATTGACATCCAATCTCTTATGTCTTTTACACAGTCCTAAATCTAAATAAGGTCTGACTGATATATGCAACTGTATGTCATTGGCGTAGCAGTGGATGTTGATGCCATGTTTATAATCAACAGTGCCCAGTGGTAGTACATAAAATAAGAATAAAAGCGTTCCTAAAACAGAGCCTTGTGGAACACCAAACTTCACTGTTGTACAAACAGATGTACATTCATAAACTGATAGCGATCAGTCAGGTAAGATCATATTAAGTGCCGCATCAAGATCAAGTAGAATGAACTGCTTGGTCAGAGGATAATAAGAGATTGTTTACTATTTTCATTCTTTACTAGGTTGATGCTTAAATCCAAACAGAAATTTTTTCATGTATGTGATTCCTGTGCAAGAAAGAACTTCAGCTTTCTCCAAAATCTTTGATATAAAGGAAAGATTTGAGATAGCACTATAATTTGATAGCTTGCAGGGATCAAGATTAGGTTTCTTAATCAGAGGTTAATCTGCTGATTTGAGAGTTTTTGGTATGTAGCCAAGGCTGAGAGAAGAGTTTGTTATTGACAAAAGAGGCTCGATTTTGTTAATGAGGTGTGTGAGAGTGAAGAAACTCCAAGTAATGAAACGTTTCTAAACCAATCAAAGGTTTTTCCTTAAACTGTACATCTGAACCAAGAACCATTTAGAGACCTTCATTTTTAAAAGTCAAGGCATTAATATTGATTTCAGCACTCGTGGTCTTTGGGAAACAGCAATAATAAAAATATATATACTACGCAACACTCCTTTTACAAATATTACTGTGCGATATTTTTTCTATAATTTCTAAATTTGCACAGCTTTCCTGCGTCATTTTATCAATTTGCATTATATATTGATTTGTTTGTTGCAATATTTATTCGTTTTATTTGTTTAATAAATTATTTGTTTTCTTTCAACACATTTCTTTCTTTCCTTTCTTTTTGAGGTAATCAGGTTAATTAAATGCTGTAGGATGAGCACTGTTGACAGGCCTATAATGAATTCGTTTGAACCTCTGACAGCTGGTCACATCGTCCATCATGCAGACGGGGTGACTGTCGGCTTGTCTTGGAGGCTTAGGGCGAAGCTGAAATAGTGCAAGAGGCTCAGGGTTAATGTCCCCCAAAGGACCTAAACAGTTTGGTTAAAAAAATCAAATTTACTTAATTTTCCCGTCTAACCCCAGTGTAGCCAATCAGCTAAGACATGTTTAGTGTTTAAAGTTTGCTTCTTTAGTTTTACACCAGAGCTACGAGGCTGATGTAGCTAATAGTTAATCAAAGCTTAAACCCCACCAATTAGTATCATGGAAACTGGAGGCCTAAATCATCACACACCGGCACCAAACCGTGAGGAGTTCTCCAACAGACTTGCTTACATGGTTTCTGACACTGATATTCTGTTATCTATAAAAGATAAACATAGTAAGTATATGTAAAATGTCAGATATGGACATGAAAGGGGTGAACAGTGTTAAGAAACAGTAAAATGTACAGAACTGAGGGAGCTGATTTGAGGACCACTGCCTTATCATGTAAAACAGGTATATATATATATATATATATATATATATATATATATATATACCCCTTAAAATCCCGGGCTTATTACATACTAAGGCTTATTATTCAGGAACTTCAGGAACGTCAGTGCAAACGGGTTGAGCTATTCTTAGGTTATATAAGTGTGTAATAAAACTTTGGGCCCACTGGCCATGTAATGTCCATTTCAGCTGAATCTCAAATAGCTTCTTACTCCTTTTGTAGGTCATGAAATAACAGCTTCTGCAAACAAACAATGCATTATATGTCTAAATGAAAGTCATATACAGTCAGTCAAGCTGCATGACTCTCTATCTTAAATCAGTGGTGGATCATTCTCAGCACTGCAGTGACACTGACGTGGCATGTTAGTGTGTGTTGCGCTGGTACAAGTGGATCAGACACAGCACTTCAGTGTCACTGCTGGACACGCTAACACCCTAACACCACGTTGGCGTGGCAGTTGATGCCATTGATTGCTGCTGCACATATAATGAGAATCAAACCTTGTTGCTGCGCATTTTTTTCAGGAGGCCCCATTTCTGTCTTTTGCCTGGAGCCCAATAGTCACTTAATCTTAATTTGAGTGGTGGGTCATACTCAGCACTGCAGTAACATGGTGTGTTAGTGTGTGTTGTGCTGGTCTGAGTGGATCAGACACAGCAGTGCTGCTGGAGCTTTTAAACACTGTGTCCACTCACTGTCCACTCTATTAGACACTCCTACCTTGTCAGTTCACCTTGTAGATGTAAAGTCAGAGACGATAGCTCATCTGCTGCTGCACAGTTTGTGCTGGTCATCCTCTAGTCCTTCATCAGTGGTCACAGGACGCTGCCCACAGGACGCTGTTGGCTGGATGTTTTTGCTTGGTGGACTATTCTCAGTCCAGCAGTGACCGTCTTTAAGGCTGGAAAATAGAGAGGGTAAAGTACAACAAACATGTAGGATCTGGGCTCTTTGAAGAACCATTGCTGTGAATGAGATGTGCACCTGTGCAGAACGCTTTTAACCTTAAATGGCCAGGGAACATTGGCAGGCCCAATGTTTTATTACACACTTCTATAACCTAAGAATAGCTCAGCCAGTTTTTTATTGAAGTCCCTGTAATTACTGAACAATAAGCCTTAAAGTCTAGCAAGCCTGGGATTTTCACATGTAATTTATTTATATAGAAAATGGTTCTATAAAGAACCATGAACACTCAAAGAACCCTTTGCATGATTTAAGGGTTCTTTGCATTGTAAAAGGGTTCTTCCGATTGATGGAGAATGTGTTGTAGATGGTTCTATTTAGAACCTTTTTTTTAAAAAAAAAAAAAAAGGGTTCTATAAAGCGACCTGTCCAGGGTGTATCCTGCCTTCCGCCCAATGACAGCTGGGATAGGCTCCAGCACCCCACAGCGACCCAGAAGGATAAGCGGTTTAGATGATAGATGGATGGGTTCTATAAAGCACCCAAAAGGGTTCTTCTATTGTTACAAGCGTGACACTGTAACAACAGAA